CCAGAACCACTTCAGCTTAATGTAGTGGTTCTGGTGTCTATAGCCTGTCCCTGCAGGCCTTTTAATGTAAACACGGCAGCACTGCAGCACTGCAGCACTGGCGTTAGTTAACATGGCAGATCATATGGGTGGGGCATTGTGATGTCACATGGGGGGGCGGCAAACTTTACTTTTGCCTAGGGCGGCAAAAATCCTTGCACTGGCCCTGCATCCTGGGGTCCTCATTGTGGGCTTTTAAGTCAATTGGGGGGTCTGGGGTTTGTGGTGGAGGGGGGAAGTGTGTGTTGGGGAAGGAGTAACGAGGAGTGGTGAGGGAGGGACACGGGAGAGGGGGTGAGGGTAGAGAGAGAAAAAGGGAAAGCGGGGGAGGTGCAAGGGTGGGTATTGGGTGCAAACCTGGTCTTATGTTTGTGTCAACAGGTCGTCTTGGGGGCTCGGAGTGTCCGGTCGGTTCCTTGTAGGTCCAATGAGGATAATCGGTGGGTGGAGGAGAGAGTAAGAAGATGGTTGTACGTCTGCGTCTCCCTCTTCCCTGTGCATCTGCATCTTGGATTACGCACTGAGTCGGCTTCTGTCGATAGAGAACGGTTATTAAGTGGGTTGAGTGTCTTGGTTGTCACATAGGGCATCTGGTGTGATGTTACCCTTGTGTCTTGGTTTGTGAGGCCTCGTTTTTGCAGTATAACATTAACCACAAATGATGGTATAACTTTGAACAATAAACAAGTACATTTTGCAACCTGTGTCTCATGTGAAAGGGGTTTGGATTGCAATTATAGTGCCAGACCTCACTGTGGAGTAGTGTGGTCCGGGTCTGTTACATTCCTCGGTGAGAGGGGTTGAGATAGAGTAATGCCGGGGATATATGTTGGGTGCTGCTATTTCGGGGGGCGTAATTGTCCGCTGTCTGGGGGGTGCTCGCTAGGTTAGGGGTCCCGGTTCTGGCCCTGTGCGGTCTGTCCTTCGGATAGGGGGGTTGGTAGAGCTGGTCTGCGGGTCATATATGTTTTCCTGTACTGTGGGGCCAGGTAGTGTGGAACTAGGCCAGAGGGTTTCGGGTCGGGGCTGTACTGGATGAGGGGGGCTATTGCTGGTGCTAGTCTGCCTGCTGTCGACGGGTCTGGTCGAGGTGAACTGGGAGGGAGGGGGGGCGTGGTCTAGTATGATGGGGAGTTGCAAGTGAATACCTTGGTATTGTGTGGCAGATTGACATTCAATTAATTACAATATAGTAACATGACTTTAAGTAAAGTTAGGTTTAAACCAGCATGGGTTCAATTAGATGACTTGAGTGCAGAGTAAGTCGAAGTAGAATAGGTTGAATCAAGTCACATCCAATTAAAGCCCATAACCTTCAATTAGATTGTATTGAAGGGGCCGGGTCTGCTCTGCTGCATCGGCTGGGTGACATTCAGTTAATTGCTGTGAGATGACATAGAATTAGGTTAAATTGCCAATAAATCAGGACAACTGAAGTGAGATTAGGCTAAGCATGCGTAGAAGCAGTTGCTCTAAAGCTGGTCCCGGTACATCATGTACAGCCTAATGACTTTAAGTAAATGAAACTGAAACTAAGGTAAATTAGAAGAAATTAAATTAGATTAAATTGAGTGGCTGCGTAAGCTGTGTTACATTGGGTAATACCCAGTTACCCCAAGTCCACAGGTGCTTTCAGAGAGTCCCTCATGCTGTGGCAGGCTCAAGCATGTCTCCATAGGCCCTGAGTTGGTGCGGCTCATCCACGAGCTCTGGTCATGTTGTGAGCCAGGTATGGAGGGCGTGGTGGTTGCAGACGGTCAGCCCCGGATGGGTCCCGGTTGGAGGTAAGTAAGGGTCATTTTGGGGGGGGTCGGTTGGTGGTACCCCATGGGGGTGTTAGTCCCTGTGATGTGAGGGCTGGAGGCAAGGGCAGAGATACGGTTGACTGTGGGATTATAACGTAGGCCCATATGGTCAGCGGGATGGTAGTTTAAGTAGGGGTGCTTGGTGAGTTTGCTGTGTCCTGGAGTGCCGGGGATGGTAGTGGGTGTTTTACGCTCCTACGGGGCTTGCGGGGTATCCTGTTCGTCATTAGTCCTGGCTTTCGGAGTGTGTTGTTGCTCTCTTATGCGGTGTGCGATGTGCGGATCCAGAGAACCTCTCACGCTGAGCTCTCTGTATGCCGCCCGTGGATGACATCGATGGAGGAGGTAGTAGGGTGAGGCCCAGTGAGTCTGCGAATGGGATCATTTCAGCCGGATTCGTGAATACGTGGTGTGACGGAACGCTGGCACTCCGACTGAGTACCTCCGCCAATCGATGCTCCTAGCGCTCGCTGAGGACTCCAAGCACTCCAACCGACACCATCAGCACTGCAGACCCCACTTCCAGCGATGCAACTGCGCCGGGGTCTCTGCTGTTTCCACCCACCCTGGACCCAAGGCCAGGATCCAGCTTCCAGTGGGTGAACCTCTCTTTCCCCAGAGAGCAGGAATAGGAACAAATCAAGCTATTGCAAGAGCTTCCTCTGGGGAGTAAGTGATTATAGCAATCCCCAGAGTGTAGGTATCCCTTCCCCCAAACATGAGCCAAGGCTTAATGCTGGAACAAGACTAATTTACTGGCACACAGAACTCACAATTTATGCAACACAAAACTCCTGCTCTGGGCCAGGCTAGATAATTGAGTTTCTACAATACACAAAGCTCAATTATCTGCTGGCCAGAAATTATACAGTTTCATAAAACACACAGGGACCCCAAAACATGCAATAACCCCATAAAAAGTATATCCTTGGAACCGGGGATCTGGGTGAACCACATATCCAAAATTCACCCAGATCCGTTCAGTACTTTGGAAAATACAGTTTAATGCAGATTCTGCAGAACATATACAGGCTAAATGAAAACAATCACTGTATAATGTGTCCCCTGCTGTATAGTCCAAAACCACTGCATGATGTCTCTGTGCACCAAATACTGGCGAGATGGCACCGTGTTGAAAAGTCCAAACAGTGTCTGTGAGTTAAAATGGCTGCCATCCATTGTTCTCACCATGTGCTTCTGATACAGGAAATGGTGGCTACCCAGTAACTCCACAGTATGTCCCCAGATGGTTCTTAAAGGGCCAGCAGCAGCACAACACAAATCCATTATGCCCAAATCATGTCTTTAAAGGGCAATACATCCCAGGGGCCATAGTCACAGGGCAAGAGGCGGGCAAGCAGTCCTCTCCAGGCACAAGTGGCGAAGGGCACTTCGTCACACGTGGGTCTGGTTTTCTTTTTGTATGATTAATTTAAATGGATGGCCCACATATATCTGATACCATGATGGTTAAGTGTAAAGGTCAGTTGTTTGAGGTGCCTCCCTTTTTTTCAAGGTGGAGGGGGCGAGATCTTGATAGAAAGCCAGGTGATCCCCTTGGTATTGTGGTGGGGTTGACCTGGCAAGGTTGAGGATCCTTTCTTTAATTGCGAAGAAATGCAGGCGGACCATTATGTCCCTGGGGCCTTAGGGCCCGATGTGCCCGGTATAGGAGGAGGTCTTGTGCGGAGGCCTCAGGCAGAATGGATTTGAACAGGCCTTTGAGTACATTGTGCAGGCCTTCCATCGTGACCGCTTCGGGTAGGCCCCGGATCTGGATATTATTTCTTTGGGACCTGTTATTCAGATCCTCCAGGCTTTCTTCCATTGCTTCAATTTTAGCATGCAGGTATGTACTGTCTTGAGAGTGTGCCTGGGAAGATGTGGTGAGTTCCTTTATGCGTGCCTCCATGTGGTTGGTCCTGCTTGTCAGGGATTCAATGTCTTCTTTGATGCCTGAGAGTCTTTTGTCAAGTTCCGATGCCAGGTGGGACTTAATGTCCGTGGTGGCTTTCCTGAGCATGGTTTGCATGTTGTGCGGAGTCAGGGGGGCATCTGGGGCTTTGTTATATTCGCTTTCGTCTGAGTCTGTATCAGTTTCTTCTGTGTTTTGGCGGCAAGATGGCTGGCCTTGTTCTTGCTGTGGGTGGAACATCGTGGCAACCGATGGAGTCTGTTCCTCCTTCTGTTTACTGCCCCCATCGCTCTGGGTTGTCTCTGGCTCAGTGTAGTGGTAATTGTTTGTTCTCTGTGTGTGATTACGTTTTTGTGCTTGTGGCTGCTGTACAATATAGTTTATTCATTTCAGGACTTTGCAATGTTTTAGTTTGAGTTAAGAATTTTTGTTTTTTTCACTGACACCATAATCATTACAGCGATATGTGGTAGCTTACGATGCCAGTGGTGGCCTTGTACACAACAAAACATTTGCTAACAGTTTAAAAAGCTACAGAAAGCTACCAGTCACTTTCTCTATGTGTTCAGTTTACGAACTGGCTGCAGTACAATAGAAGTGATTAACCACCACTACCAGTACCAGACACAGTTACAGACCCATACTATTCAGGAGACCTGGTAAAAGGAGGTATTGCAATGATACGGGTAAGTAATAATTTAAGAAAAACTGTGGCATGGGGAGCGGAGCCTAACTGCCAAGCAGATCAGACGTGCTGTGAATCAGCTCCTGCAAGAAGCGGCACAAATAGGGATAAATATCTCGAGAACAAACCCACTCACAAACCAGAGGGCACAAGACGACCCGGGGGCATCGAAAGAACCCACAAACGAGTCCCACGAAGCCCGGGAACCCATACAAAGCACATGGGGCCTACGTCGCTCTCCTGGATGGTAACATCGCACACAAACCTTAGTACGCTCATCTTCCTCCTCCCCTACTCCTGGGCCGGCGGGGGTCATCCCGGCCCACACTCGACAGCCAAAATAACCAGCCGAGGCAGCAACTCAAGCTTGATCTTAAAACACAAGGCTGCGGCTCTTCACAAGGCGCACCTAAAATGGTGGCCGGCGGTGTGACAAGCATGATGACTAAGCAACTGACACAGCCGCAACATAGTGCAGAGTATGGAGGCGATATTAAACCGCTTCTGGGATGCACTCCTGGAGCGGCAACAAGTAGCCCGAGCCAAGCAGCCTACACCTCCGGCGAAGGGCGAACGGAGCCGCAGGTGGAAGAGAGAGAGGGGGATACCCTTGGGCACAGCACCATTTTGACTACTCACCCACAAGCTACGTAGCCTACCCGGGCTGCAGGCCACAGGGCAGAGAGCCCAGCAGCATTGACCACATCGACGGAGGATCGAGCATCATAAGAAACGGACCATAATCAGCTCCTCTGAAGCTCTCATTTGTGGAGGAAACCCAAACGGTAGCCGAGTTTGTGGACTAAGGATGCCGGCCTGCACACCAGCCTGGGGCTGGAAGAAGGACACCCCCCTTGACACCCACACAGTGGCTGAACGCCGAAACCAAGTGACGGGCACACACCACCTCCACAAAGAGGGCATAGGATGAAAAAGACTTTGTAAGGGGCCTCATCATCTTGCTACAGCAGGACATTGTGGACAAATACAAAAGATTCTTTCACTATATCACAGTAAATTACAACACGTTATATGAGGTGCCTGTGCCTTTAATAGACCAAACAGGTGCCTCTAGTGATTTAACAGAGCATTAATGCTTAACCTCCCTTCCAGTTTAGGATTAACCCGGAGATCTCCTCAAATTTTCTTAACCAACAAGTACAAAGTGTATGGGTGAATCCAGCTGAGGGAGACAGAAATACAATATAGTGCAACACTGTAGAGCCCAATCAGGAAATATATGATGTGCCAATGGGTCACTCACATTTTGTATTCAAAGTTTAGGCATTTCAGAAATCTCACAGGTGTGTGTCTTCTTGATTGTAGATAATATGGGTCTCAATGGTATGTAAAAGATAAAATATAACCAAGTAAGGTGACTGTAGGCTGGTGTGCAGTATAAAAAATGTATTAACTTACACATGTGCGTTCCAAGTGTCAAAATCCGGAAGTATGCGTTTCGCCATGCGTATCATCCAAATGAATGTCCATTTTTGTGCCAATAATCGCACAAAATGAATATGGGCATATATAAGAAAGGGTGAGGGGTAAACAAGAAGTTAATACTCTCATATTAAAAATACAAATAAAATAATCCATTCAAAATCCATATGACCCATATCTTCTATACATTATAGTATGCAAGTTAAAAAGCCCTGTGACTTGCTGGAGCAACGCCAGTGGGAATTTTAATATGCAATTAAAGGGACACTATAGTCACCTGAACAACTTTAGCTTAATGAAGCAGTTTTGGTGTATAGAACATGCCCCTGCAGCCTCGCTGCTCAATCCTCTGCCATTTAGGAGTTAAATCCCTTTGTTTATAAACCCTAGTCACACCTCCCTGGATGTGACTTGCACAGCCTTCCATAAACACTTCCTGTAAAGAGAGCCCTATTTAGGCTTTCTTTATTGCAAGTTCTGTTTAATTAAGATTTTCTTATCCCCTGCTATGTTAATAGCTTGCTAGACCCTGCAAGAGCCTCCTGTATGTGATTAAAGTTCAATTTAGAGATTGAGATACAATTATTTAAGGTAAATTACATCTGTTTGAAAGTGAAACCAGTTTTTTTTTCATGCAGGCTCTGTCAATCATAGCCAGGGGAGGTGTGGCTAGGGCTGCATAAACAGAAACAAAGTGATTTAACTCCTAAATGACAGTGAATTGAGCAGTGAAATTGCAGGGGAATGATCTATACACTAACACTGCTTTATTTAGCTAAAGTAATTTAGGTGACTATAGTGTTCCTTTAATACTTTTGAGGATAATATATCATTATAAATGACCATAAATGTATATGAATAAACTGTGTGAGTTTATTAACCCACACAGATATTACATCCTAAATTAATATATATCTTGCTAAAAAGAAATAAAATAGAATAATCCTTAATCCAAAAAATATTCTAAAAATATATACAACAAATGAATTTGGGTACATCAAAAAATCTCCATACTGTATTGTTCCTTACATGAAAAATGTGAAGAAAGAGAAAAGAGACCCCCAATTCAATGAATAATTCTAGTGTTTCTAGGGATTGAAAATCCAAAAAAGAATTATAAAAGAAAATAGAAAAAGCAGATGGAGAGGAAAGAACGGCAAAATTGAATCCAAAAAGCACCATAGGTCTATATCCTGGTTTAGTCCCCTAGGTTGGAGTGTTTTTAATGTTTCAATCCAGTAAGTTTCTCGTTGTGCTAACTTCTTGGTGCTATTTCCCCCTCTCCAACAATTCTCCACCTGTTCTAATCCTACATAATAAAAATCCTTCCAATTAAATCTGATACATACGTTGCAGTGGATGGGAACTGTATGTTTAATGGACTTCTTTTTTATGTTGTTTATATGTTCCAGAATTCTTTCTTTCAATTTCCTACATGTACGGCCAACATATTGATTCCCACACGGACACTGCAACATGTATGTAACGGCTACCCGGCTGGTAAGGGGTATCTGCTGTTGGAGACGTCTTTTTCTGGGCAAGCTGCTGTGAAGTAATGGAGTTCTTATTCCCATCCACGATATCCAAGGGTACAAGCAGGCATCACTGTAAAATGAGGCAGAGTAACTGTACAATAAATCCCCTTCCAAGAACGAGACGAGGCTACAAGTTGAAGGGTCAAGCAGAACTGATGTTTATTGACAGGGGTCTCCTTTTATGCAATGCTGCCCTGGAAAGGGCTACACCTACATAATTATCATAATAACCAATCATATACATGGTACAAACCCCATGTCTCCTCCCCTCAGGTAAACATTTAACATAATTAAAACATACACAATTTTACCCAAGTTCTGGATGTACCCCAAAAACAGGGGGTACATCTTTAAATCTAGTATCGCCAGATAGCTCTCATTCAGGGGAACAACATATCCAAATTCCAGCTCATTCGGTTGAGGGGTTCGGGAGTTATGGGTCTTTGAAGTTTTGACCGACCGCACAGACTTTCTAGCCGAAAATAGTTCCACAAGTTTTGGCCTTGCAGTCGGTCTTCATTCTGGCATAAAAACCCCACAAAACCCTTGCCATCCACATTCATCCCTGTGTTCGCTGGAATCCCCATGTAAGCTTTAGTCTAACTACCGAACGGCCGGTTGTTCGGTAGTTCCGGCACGAATCTATGGTGTCATGGAGGTCTCAGTGGTGTTCGCCTGTTTGCGTTGCCGTTTTTAGTTCCATGCGATCACTGGCAAACACCGCTGTTCGTGCGTAAGATGGCCGCGAACACGTGTAAAGTCCCGAAATGGCGGCCATCTATTCTGAGCACAAAGGATTCGTGCTGACACATACGAACGGCTGAAAAGAGCTGGGAGGTAAAGTATCGCTTAATTGTTCCCCTGGGTGGTCCGGTGTTCGGTAGTTTGGCTTCATTCTCAGGTAATGGTAATTCCCATGAAACAGGCAATTCGGTATTTTGTAAATCCATCTGTGTTATTGTAAATGTGTCCAGGTAGAAAGCATAGTCCTGTTACAATGTATACCACATTTCTTGTTTCACAGGTTATATTTGATTTAATAGTGAATTCTCTTCCAGTGACTGTGCTTTTAAATGTTCCAATTTTTACTGACCTTTGTGTTATACAGGCTTTACAACTATTACAAGATTTGAAACCTTTATTTCCCATAATGAGATTATTACGGGTATTTTTTAAAGGATAACTTTGGGCTAATATACTTTTCAAATTTCTAGCTTTTTTAGAAGACCGAAACCAGCTGAAGCACACAGATGAATTTCGTATAGAGAAGATTGGGACTAATTATTGGTGTATATTAAGGGGTGGGGTGGGGGGGTGTTTGTATTCTGTATTTGTATTTCATTTGGCATTTACTGTTCAACTGAAAATTATTCCTGAAGAAGTCCCTGTTAGGGATGAAACGTGTTGAATTGATGTTATCTTTTATTTGATGCCAGCTGATTTTAACCAATGTGTAAGTGAATAAATTTTTTTATAATGCACACCAGCCTACAGTCACCTTACTTGGTTATATTTTATCTTTTACATACCATTGAGACCCATATTATCTACAATCAAGAAGACACACACCTGTGAGATTTCTGAAATGCCTAAACTTTGATTACAAAATGATTACTTACTACTGCTAGCCTCATACAGTTCACGTTGACTGAACTTTAATTCATAAAATGTGCATGTACTACTCATTGCCCTATTGAAACCAGTGAAATAAAGCCTGAAGAATGCCTTTGGGGTACCTCAGACATGTATGTTCCAATCTATGCATGTCAAAAAAAATAATAAATAAAAAATAAAATAAACTGTGGCATGGAGTTTCCATTTGCTCTCCATAGTGTGCAGGGCTTAGCTCATTAGATAAAAAAAAAAAATTACAATGTTTAGGTCTAGAGGCCTTAGTCATGTATACCAACCACAGTCAATTAACCCACATAATTGTCCTCAAAGAAACAGAAAACCACACTAAACTCCATCAGCTAATTGCAGAAATCCATAGACAGTTAGCAGATACTTCAATATATGAAATATGTAACATCAACCCTACGCCTAAACGCATCCAAGATGTTGAACTGGTTATTGCTGATGCTCATACGACCAATATAATTTATCATGAGCTTAAACATTTCCTCAATAAAAAAAACCCAGTTTTACCAGTATTGTACGTACTTTCCAAAATTCACAACAGGCTGCAGAATCCACCAGGACACCCTATTGCGGCTGGTACCGATTGTATGCTCCATCCACTATCCATTTTTTTTAATATATGATCCTGTCACCTGTTAAACAATTCCAGTCATTTGTACTTGATAGTGGTGATGTTCTGTGTAAGCTTGCAGATATTGACATCTCACCATCTGGCATTTTATTTACATGAAGAAGTAACAAGCTTTTACACATCCATGCCCCATGACGGGGGCATTGTAGTGTTCTAATGTAAATAAATTACTCCTATTGATAAAAGATGAGTGTGGCGGTCACTCGGATAGGGACACGAGTTTCGCCGCCAAAGCTGTCCTTTCCCCATCTCTGGATCTCTGTCAGCGATGTTTCCAAAAGTGTCGTGAGTAGTATAGTGCTTTCCCACAGACATTAGCCAATACTTAATGCTGTGAGACAACTGAATTTTATTGGGTCAAGCATGGCCTTTTATGTACAGACCCCAGCAGAGAGTCTACATTACAAGTTACAAGGTTTACAATTAGGTCCACACAGAAAAACTCCTACCCATAGATCCTGTATCTGAGATATAGTTGAGACCAAAGAACAATAATTAAATTATCCCTCAAGTACAGGAAACATACAGAATATTATAAAAACATAATAAAACACCACAAAACTGTACAAGAGCCCTACAAGTCTTCTATCTCCTTGCTAAAAATTACTTCGCCACTGGGTTTTGGAGGGGCCTGTTTGCCAGCCTTTTGCCCAAGGATTATGGGCCCTGCAGAAAGCCATGCTTGCGGTCAGTCAAATGTGACTTCCATGGAATTCGTGAACCCCTGCTCTGATCTGGGTGAGTTTTGGATATGTTGTTCACCCAGATCAGGGCTATCCAGGGATGTATGTGGGGATATGTGGTGTTTTCTGTGTTTTGGGGAAAATGTGTGTTTTCTGCCTGTGAGTAATTAAGTTAGCCCATTGTGTTTGTTAATTGTATCACAGGCAGAGGGGAGGGTTTGTGTACATTGTCTGGGAGTGTCTAAACTGTACTTTGTATCCTGTGTTCCACAAGGTCCACATGGTAACCTCGTGGGAAAACCTGTATATAAGAGACAATAAACCCTTAAACTGCTGACTTCATGTTTTACCCTCAACATAGAGCCTCGTCTCATGTGTGGGGGGAAAAGGCTGTATCTACACTGGGGATTGCTATATGCGGTGTACTCCCCTGGCTATAATCACTAAGCTCTTTTAAGACTTTGTTCCTGCTTCGCTCTCTGCAGGAAGAGAGGTTCACCCACTGGAGCCTGGAGCCTTGTCGTAGGTCCAGGGTGGGTAGGAGATGGCGAGACCCAAACAAAGCTGCGGCGGTTTGTGGGGTCTGCAGTACTTATGCTGTCAAGTGGAGTGCTTGGAGCCCTCGGGAAGCACTAGGAGCATCCATCAACAGAAGTACTCAGTCGGGGTGCCAGGTGATCTGTTACAGGGAACTCCTGTTCAAACACCAACAAATGCACCCCCTGGCTTCGTGGATGAGAACGTTCCCCTAGTTCGGTGGAAGCCATCTCCCAAATGGCATTGTTTGCTGTTTTTTGATTGGGAAGCGAGCAGCGGTTAAGTTTTACCAAGTTTGTGTGTCCGAAACCAGGTCCAGGCACTCAACGACCCCATACCGCTGCCCTCTACCAGGAGACAAGATGGTCACCATTCATTGAACCACGTGTTCGGCTATACAAACGACGGTCACAAAGAGAACCTTCGCACCCAAAGAGAATGGCAGGGCATACTGTCACAATGAGAGAAATGACTTATAGTGTCAGCATGAAAAAGGATTTACTATAGTGTGACATGTTGCATGTTAATAAAATGTTCACAGAATGGATTTTAGTTTCGATAAATTTTGAAAAATGTTCTTGTTTCAGATAATCCAAAATTTGGATTTGGGTGTGGGGTCTGCGCAGTGTATTTTTTTGTTTCTTTTGTTTACTCTGTAGGTCTGTGTCATGTCACAGATAGGTACTCACCTGCCCCTGGGCGCCCACGCCGCCCTCGCGGCAGAATCACAGTTCTCACTGCTCCTGAGAGATCCATTGGTGAGGAACAGGTCAGGGACCAGGGAATAAAACAAGATGGCGCTGAGTCCCTGACCTCTTTATATAACATCTGTGTGCCTCACCTCCAGTCAGTGCTTGGTTATTTTGCTTTATACCTGCCTTTTGTCCTAATCTCCAGCTTCTGTTCCTGGTTCCTGCTTCCTGATTCCTTGGACAACTGCTACAGCCTGCTTCCTGACCTAGATCCAGATTAATCGTTTACTTCTGTCTGCTGCAAGACTGCATTTTCGTTTGCTTTTCCTGCTGCTACCTTCTGAAAATGTATTATTTTTTATTAAAGGCCTCCACGCCACCACAGACCCTTTGGTACTCTGTCTCCACTTCCAGGTGCTCCTAAGGGTCGTGTTAGTAGGGAGTGCTGTTCCGCTGCAAATTGGGTTCCATCCGTTCAACGACTCTCCAGGTGGGTGTGACATAATAACCAAGCCGTTTAAATATGGAACCCACAGGAACAGCCGATGCCATTACTGCTTTAACCCAGCAAATGTCAGCCTTAGCCCAAGCAGTTCAGGATTTGCAATCAGCAAAACCGCACTGCTACAGCGTGAACAAAGGAGAGCACAGTCTGTATCTCTGCTGGATTCGTCCCCTCCTGGTGCCCATATGACGCCTATGCCTTTTGAACCCAACGTTCCTATGCCTGATAAATTTACAGGAAAAAAGACTGAACTACGTTCATTCATTACAGCCTGCGAATTACTCTTTACTCTGAAGCCACGTACCTACCCTAATGACTTTGTGAAGGTTCGCACTACCATTGCTTTACTATCCGGTCAACCTGGGCACACCAACTTTTAGATTACAATAGCGCAATATTGAACTCATGGGATTCATTCGCTGCAAACATGCGCTTGATATATGATGATCCATTCAGACCTTCTGCTGCTTGCAGTACTCTCCGTGCCTTCCAGCAAAGGAAAAGACCTGTGGAGGATTATACTACAGATTTCTGGGAGCTAGCTGCTGATACCGGTTATAATGAGACTGGTCTAATAGAGCCAGTGGCGTCTCTAGGATTCATTTTTCGGGGGGGCACACGGAGGGCCAGTGACAAAAGTAGGGGGGCACATTTAACCCCGCCCTCTTCGCAGTTTGACCCCGCCCCTGTCGCATGTTAAGCCACGCCCCCGACACAATGTGTTTTGTTTTTTTAATAATACCTGGTGGAGGATTCATTATTTTCCACCAGGGATTATTAAAAAAACAAACACATTATCCTTGATACAGTGCCATAGTTGCCAACATTTGAAAAAACATTTTCAAGGACATTTTGCAGCACAGCTATCAATTACTGTCTGGGTATAATATCCCTGGACAGTCAGTGCTCGCTGTATAATACAGGGCTGTGTGTATAATAAATTGGGACACTCAGTGCTCCCTGTATAGTGCTGCTCTCTGTATAATACAGGTCTGTTTGTGTATAATATCCCAAGACAGAGAGCAGCACTATACAGGGAGCACTGACTGTTCTGGGATATTATACAGGCAAAGGCCTGTATTATACAGAGAGCAGCACTATACAGGAAGCACTGACTATCCCGGGATATTATATACACACAGATCTGTATTATACAGATAGCTGAGCATATACCCCAATCTCTAGACTACTAGTACCTGTCAACAGCAGCTCCCAGACGCGTGTAACAGGGCTAAAGTGTGCGGCAGCTCACACAGATTATTCAGCGGTAAAGTGCACTCGCTGGCAGAGCCAAACTGGGAATCCCTGGGAATCCAAAGCAGCCCTGGAAAAAAAAACGTATGCCATTCCTACAAGTCAATATATATATATAGTACAGTGAGCACACAAGCTCACTGACATGCGCAAATAGGCTTACTGACAGACAAAACTCTCTGACTCACACACAAGCTTACTACAGACAATCTCATTTGTATAAACAGAAGGCTCACTACAAAGAAGTTCAGGGACACACACACAAGCTCACTAAAGACAAGCTCACTGACACACACATGCTCACTAAATAGAAGCTCACTGACACACACAAGCAGTACCATTTTAACAGAGTTAAGGGCCCCTGGGCAAAGCAATGCACTGGGGCCCTTCCTACACAACAACTCACAGGAATTTTAATTATTGATAGACTGCTGAGTCCATACACACACACAGACTGCTGAGTCCATACACACACACAGACTGCTGAGTCCATACACACACACAGACTGCTGAGTCCATACACACACACACAGATTGCTGAGTCCATACACACACACACAGACTGCTGAGTCCATACACACAGACTCTGCTGAGTCCATACACACACACACACACAGACTCTGCTGAGTCCATACACACACACACAGACTGCTGGGTCCATACACAAACACACACTCTGCTGATTCCATACACAAACACACAAAGACTGCTGAGTCCATACACAAACACACACAGACTGCTGAGTCCGTACACACACACAGACTCTGCTGAGTCCGTACACACACACAGACTCTGCTGAGTCCGTACACACACAGACTGCTGAGTCCATACACA